CTGCTTTTCATGTTAGTGTACTGGAAGAAATGATGTAGTACCTTCCTCTACCTCAAGGAGGTGTGTGGGGATTCACAAAAACGTGGACAGAGCATGTGGAGATCATGTGGAGAGCATGTAAGAGGTAATGAATAGGTAACAAGTTGTATTTAATGAGCAAAGTAGCTGTTATTTGAATTTCCCTGTAGACAGTAAACTCTAGGATAGCAGAGACCAGGTCTTCCTTGTTAACTGCTGTAACCCTGTGCTCAGCCCAGAGCTGGCATATAGTAGGCACTTGGGAAATAAATGAAATCAAAGCCAACAAACAGAATGAAACGTATTTGTATAAACACTATCAGTAGTTTTTATTAATACCAGTCAAGTCGAGTCAAATCATGGCTGACATTATGGATACTATTCTGTTATCTATCAACAATTATGTTTTAAACCTTATCATGGTAAAAACAGAATTTTATAGGTCAACATCTACAACTTGGTAACATTTAGGGGATTATTTACCCAAGTCCTTTAATGTTGTGGTTCATTCCTTCTGTTGCTAAGTCAACTATAATTTATTTACAGGGCCACTGCTGACCCACAGAGGACCTTTGTGGAATTAGGAAAAGGAGCCCTCCCCACCCCTAATACATGCAGCCTTGCGGGTGCAGACCAGCTGGGGTTCAGCTCTCCATCACCCCTTCCACAGGGCACCCCTGTGGAGTGAGAAACTCGCATGTTGTATCACTGTTTACTGAGTACCTTCTCATATCACACACCATGTTAGGTAATTACACATATTATCACCTCAGTCAATTCTCCCAGCAAGCCAGAAAGGCAAACATAATAACCTCACTTTACAGATAAGGAAACTGAGGTCCAGAGAGGTTAGCAACTTGTCTAGATTGCACAGTTAAGCAAATGTGGGAATCAGGATTCACATCTAACATCAGAACCGCCCGGAATGCCCTGCTGCAGCTGAAGAGGGAGGTCACATGAATCCAAAAATTGTACTTCCCTCAGCAGCTCAGGGATAAAACATTCTGAAGGATATGAAATCTGGTGCCTGAAAGGAAGTTTTAGTGGTAATTGTAGACTTGATTGTTGTGTTGTCTGAGAGAGGGTTTGAAAGAACCATTTGTTTTCCAACCTTTTCATTTATTTACTCTGATCTTTCTTCTATTCTGAATAGGCTCAGAGAAAGGTACTAGTATTAGGATGAATGGAATTACGTTACTTTTCTGTTTGTCCACCACAATCTCTTCCTTGCTAGGGCCGTCAAGATTCTATTAAATCAAAGTTTAATACTAGTGATGGCTAACATTGATTGTCACTTAGTGGATTCCAGTCACTGTGCTAGTGCTTTCGAGGTATTAACTCATGTAATCCTCTGCTCATACTCTTCTCACTCTACAGGTGATGAAACTGAAGCACAACAAGTCTGAATAAGGCTAGTAAGCGGAGGAACCAGGATTCAAACCCACCTCATTAAAGTTGTCATTTTCAAGGTCATAAGATCTCTGTCCTCCCTTTTAGAGCAGATTGCTTTCCTCTATCACATAGGAAAAAGAACTTTTGAGCAATTAATTAGGAGCTATTACCTCCAAAATACATTCATTTCAAAATTTAGTCAGAGTGCAGTGAATCAGTATAAATTACAAAATGAATGTATCACTACACTTCTAGCATTTTCTCTATTTTTTTGAGTGTGATCATTTTAAAGATGTTTTATCTCCTTTGGGCCTTTGGTCTACCCTAGAAAAATGTTAGAGACAGTGATATTCTTTTGTAATATTTCCTAGCTTGGTTGACTATTTTCAGGTTGTGCTATAAAAATATTATATGTTGAGGACATTTGCCTACTACACATATACCACTAAGATTTGGAAAAGTACGTAAGACTGAAAATTGGTACTGTGATCATGGGCATAAATGTTTATGGCAAAAATCAATAGATCCCTTGGGACACTTATGACACCATTTGTGGATAAATAAGTGTTCACAAAGCTTTTGGTTTTGGGGAAAAAACTTGACTTAGACTCATAGAATGATATACTTTTCAAAATATAGAATCGAGTGGCTATAATTTGGGTGTGTTGACATTTTTTTTCCCACAGCTTTCTGCTCTGGAAGAGCGATGCCTTTAGAATGCACCCACAGCTGGCACAGCTGGATGAAAATCATTCATCTCATTTAACTGACAGTACTAATTACTGTAGTAGTTATTTTACCAGAAAATATAATTTGACAGATGTGATTAGTATATTAACTCATTTCCTTGCTAATTCCCTATGGCAACCATCACCAGAACATCCTTTGTGTGATATCTAAATGAATTGTCTTGTCATAATGAATTTCTTTGTAGACCTGAGAAATCACTTTTAAGTTGCCTTACGTGCTGTTAATTTGAAGGCTTCATTCGTGGTGAGGCCAGAGGGGGAAGTGAAGGATAGCCCTCCTCCCAATTCTTTCATATAGACCCCCTGGGGCCCACAGCCTGTGCCCTGCATCTCACAAAATTTTTCCTAAGCCCTGCCTCTCCAGACTCAGGCTCTAATTCCTCTCCACTGGGAGATTCAAACACAGTCCCACAGGCAGTGTGGGAAACTATTTGGTATGAATGAATGTATTAAAAAGAGAAACAATAGGCAGTGAGTTGAATTAATAATAATATATAAACTAAGCAAGTGAATAACTATGACAATTAGTTCAGGGAAGAACAGAAAAGTATTTACACAAAATAATAACTTACTATATGGCTCAGTTCTTCCTAGCAGACGTATTCATTATATGTACATATAACTGAATATTGATATAACTCAGATTACAATATGATTACTTTTTTAAACCATTACTAATATGCAACTACTGAATGGAAAGGGAATGTGCATGTGTAATGGGAGAGCAGAGGGGATGATAGAACTCGGGAACAAAGAACTGTCTTTATTTTCCGTAGTGGGAGTTAATTCAAATGCCCAAACTGAAAAATCATGAAGTAGCAATTCACTTAGAGATATAGAAAAAAATATCCCTTCAAAAAAGCTGAAAGAATGAAAATATTTGCTCCTGGAGAAGGGGAAATGGGAGAGGAGACCTGAGTGTTAGTGGTATATCTTAACTTACATTAGATAGGCAGATAACTCTTTAAACCATATGCATTTATAACAGGGGTGGAGGGGTAATTTAGGGAAAAAAGATCAAGAAAAAAATCTTTGGGAAAAGAAGGTGGAAGAGGAAATATATCACCTAAAGTCCATTTTAATATGTTGACTTATTTTCTTCCAGCATTTTCCCCCTTTATTTGTGATTTGTTTTTCCTCTTTTCCTTCCTCCCCTCTTCCTTTCTATCCACATTGCTGTAATCATTCCGTATATAAAATTATAGCTAGCTTATTGAGCACTTAGTTACACAGCAGACCTTGTACCAGAAAACCCTTTTATGCATTATTTCATTTGATCAACCCAACTGTGAATGCTGATTTTTTAACTTATTATATCATAATTATTTTCTTATTTTAGCATGTGGTCTTCATTATCATATTTTTTTCATTCCATCCAGTGGAATATTTATCCTTCCCCCAAATTATTAGACTTTTAAGTTCTTTTCCAGCTTTTGCTATTATAAAGAATACTGGGATGATATACTTTTCCCCAAAGCATTTTCCTGACGTTTATGCTTTTAGAAGTAGGATCACTGGGTCAGAGTAGAAACATGTTGCCAAGTTGCTTATCTTAAACTGTCCAGAGCACTTTTGCATTCCTTATTTAATGTGATATGATGCCTCATGCAACTCTGAGAGAGGCAGGAGAGAGCGATTCACTGCCATTTTACAGATGAGATCTTTGGGAGCTAAGTTCCCAAGGTCACCTCGTTGGAGGAGGAGCTGGAATTAAAGTGCACGTTTCCCAAGGATCTCTTGAGTTCTTTCCCACTATGCCCCCTAAATGAAATGAAACTCAGGCTGAACTGTCCCTGCCACTTTCCTCCCCAGACATCTTAGTCTTTATCTAATGGGGCTTCTCTGTCATGGGCCTTTTTCCTTTCACTGAGGGCCATCTGCTTTATTTATTTATTTATTTATTTATTTTTTATTGAGGTAACATTGGTTTATAGCATTACGTAAATTTCAGGTGTGCATCATTATATTTCGATTTTTGTGTGGATTACATCATGTTCACGACCCATAGACTAATTACCATCCATCACCATACACCTGTGCCTAATCAGCCCTTTTGCCCTCCTCCCTCCCCCCCTTCCTCTCTGGTAACCACCAATCCAATCTCTGTCTCTATGTGTTTGTTTGTTGTTGTTTTCATCTACTATTTATGAGTGAGATCATACAGTATTTGACTTTTTTCCTCTGGCTTATTTCACTTAGCCTAATACCCTCAAGGTCCATCCATGCTGTCGCAAATGGCAAGATTTCATCTTTTTTATGGCTGAGTAATATTCCATTGTGTATATATACCATATATTTATCCATTTGTCCCTTGATGGGCACCTACGTTGCTTCGAAGTCTTGGCTATTGTGCATAATGCTGCAGTGAACATAGGGGTGCATACAAGGGCCATCAGCTTTAGAAGGAAAGAAAGACCTCTCAAGCAGTCCAAGGACCACACACTGTGAAATCTTCTACTAGTCTAAGGAGGAGAAAGAGAGGGACAGAGAAAAGAACTTGAGAAAACAAATGTGCTAAATTAGAATATGGGACAGGGGACCTGAGAAGGTACACAAGGAGAAAACAGGAAAAAAACTGTGGTTTTGGAGGACCTTAATGTTTAAGATGAGCTGTGTGAGCTGAAGACAGTGAGAGATTTGACTTAGAGAGTGTTAGGGTCATGGTATGGCCTTTCTGTACTCAATTGTACGCAGAACTGTCTTGAACCGTTAAATCTACTTCTGATAGCAATACACTTTCTCAAGATAGAAACTAAACAACAATTTGTATTTTTTCTTTTCTTTTTATTTTTCAAATGAACGATCAAAAAGTAACTTCAAATATGTATTTTTCCACCACAGAAGAAAGTGAGTCCTGCCTTGCCCAACCAAAAGCACACACACTGGGAAGAGAGCCTACTTTTTATAGCGAAGTACAAAAGGAAAGCCTTCCTCCATTACAAAAGCTGAAGATTTCAGCAGTGTCTACAGCGAACGGTGTTAAATTCCTCCATGGAGAGCCCCTGGCAAAGGATGCTGCAGACCAACCCGGATCCACAGAGAAGACTCAGCCTCTAGAGGGACCCAAGGAGTCTGAGCCACCTCAGCCAGGTGGCAAAGATGATACTTCAGGAGTAGAAGAAAAGAAGAAAAATGTGGAAGTACTAACAGAAGCTCAGGCTTTAAAAGGAAATGCTGAGCCTGAACCTTTAGGAGCAGAAGCCAATCATCAGCCTTTGAGGGAAGCAGGAGAGAGGGACTCTCCTGGAGCAATGGGAGGTACTGAGGATCCACAGACTGCTGGACAGATGACACCTCTAGGAACAGCTGAGAAAACTCCGCCTCCGGAAGCAGTGAGAGAGCCACAACCTCAAGAAGCAAAGGGAAAGGATGAACAGTTCCAACTCCCAGAAGCAGTTCCTAAGGAGACTGAATCTCCAGGAATTTTGGAAAGATGTCAGCTTGTGGAAACAGCTGAAGAGCAGCAACCTCAAGAAACATTGGGAAAAGACGAGCAGTCTCAACTTCTAGAAACAATTCCCAGAAAGAATGAATCGCAGGAAGTATTGAACAGAAGTCAGCTTGTGAAAAGAGCGGAAGAGCAGCAACTTCAAGAAACACTGGGAAAAGATGAGCAGTCCCGACTTCTAGAAACAATTCCCACAGAGAATGAAACACCAGAAGTATTGGACAGAAGTCAGCTTATGGAAAGAGTTGTAGAGAATGATTCACTCCATAAAATTCCTGAAGGTCCAGGAAACATGGAACAGATTCAATCTGAAGGAATCATTGGAAGCATGGAGCATTCAGCAGGAGTTTTAGAAACAGGGACAAATATGGAAATAGTCAGGAAAATTCATACTAATGAAGAGGAGCAAGACATTGAAGGTAAAAGTTATGCTGTCAAAGATTCAGAAGGGCTCCATAGATCATCTCTGGGGGTAGGGGGTGGCTGACACACAGTCATGGAAGTCTCTGTTTCAGGTGGTTGAAGTTCATTTGACCCAAACCAAAAAGGCTTCCATACCTGGGAAACAGGCGTTTGGCTTTCCAGCAAAAATTTTCTAAAGCGTAGTCTGTGTTCAAATTTTTAATCTAGAGTTTCACTGTTGAATAGATTTGACTATTGAGGGCAACATGTCAAAATTTCTGAATTTTTTCAAGTTAACTCTTCATCAGGCCCCAAGTATGATATGAGGATCCAAAGTAAATATGTTTAGTGGAGGAATTAATCTTCTGATTAAAGAATACACAAATAACAGATCTTAGAGTATAATTTTCATCTTTGCCAATCTTATCCTTAGAAAATTACTGTCTGTCTGCTCCTGTCCTCTCACAGTCTTTTTATTTTTATGACAAGACTAGAGAAAATGTATTATGTCTTGGCATATGGTGTTTTTGTTTTTTTTTTGAGGAAGATTAGCAGCCCTAAGCTAACTACTGCCAATCCTCCTCTTTTTGCTGAGGAAGACTGGCCCTGAGCTAACATCCATGCCCATCTTCCTCTACTTTTTTTATATGTGGGAAGCCTACCACAGTGTGGCTTTTGCCAAGCCATGCCATGTCTGCACCCGGGATCCGAACCGGCGAACCCTGGCCGCTGAGAAGCGGAATGTGTGAACTCAACCCCTACGCCACCGGGCGGCCCCTGCATATAGTGTTTTTTAAATGTACTTCACCAGCGTAAAACAAGTGATATTCTTACTGTTCTTTATTTGGAGTTGTAATAAAAAAAAATAACATGTCTTCTGGGTCATGATTTACATTTTGGTAAATTTTAGCTTCACACTATAGTATAATTTAGTGAAGCATTCATCCATCTGTTTCTTAATTCATTCATTTATTAATGCTGCAGTTTTTGAGTGCCTAATCATATGCTAGGTGCTGGGGTACAGAAGGAGTAAGAGATAGTCTCTGTTCTCAAGGGGCTCTTAGTCTGATGGGAAGAAGACAGAATGTAAACAAATTACCATCATCTACTGAGGTAAGGGCTTTAGCAAAGGTGTGTGAAAGTGCTCCGGGAATAACAACAGGGAATCAAGTAACAGCGTGTGTTTGTTAGACCAGCATTGGTGAACTCAGCAGACTTTAGGGCCTAGGATAATGACAATGAGTAAATCGAGGGGCACATGTAATGTCGTGGGGAGCCCCGGGACCTCGGTGAACAGGAGCACAGTCCTGTCAAAGCAGGCAGCTGCCTCTTGGCTCCACCCATGAGAGTGGGGGTCAATGTTGCCAAAACTGACTTCCTAGGGAAACAAATTTGTCTGTGCAATGTCCAGACTTTTCAATGTTCACAATCTTTAAATGTTTAATGATTGTTTTCTTTAAACACAATGGCCAAACAAGACAGGTTTTTGGGCACTCCTAGGCCACCTTTTGATTTAGATATAAATGGGACTTTCTATTTGTAACATATGCTACTGTCATTTCTTGTCATTCTGCATCCTGATTTCATATAAGAGAATGCCAAGACATGGAGATGTTTATTGACATTGGCCATTCAGAGGATCTGAGAGAACCAAGGCCATCACCTTTCTTGACACACCCGAGAAACTTACTGTTTAGATTCAGAGCTACCCCCATTGGAAACCAGCTATGGGGTACTTGACTGTGAATGCTAAATGAGTGTCTCTTAATGTCTCCTTTGGTTACGTTTCCAGGTGAGACAGGAGAGAAGGTGGAAACAGAGATGGAGAATGAGAAAGTTGAAGGGGCTGAAACAAAAGAAGAAGAAACAGGAGAAGCTGTGGATCTCTCAGCAACCACATAGATAGATATGGTGACGGAAGGGTAGACAGACACAGCGTATCACAATGGAGAAGACAGAAAACTGGTTGTGAAGCTTGTGGTTACAGATCTCATCTCTCAACATCTGCATGTTTTATACAAGGAGTGTGGTTATCATGTTTTTGATTACATTGCTCCATAAAACTGCTAAGGTGTAAACAGTTTTCTTAGCTACTTAGAATAGTTATACGTTTACAACTACAATAGCTGGAGCCAATAACAACTGGAGTCTATGATCATTTAAGAGTGTGTGGGTGTTCTCTTCATTGTGGCAGTGGGACCATTCAGTGTAGAAAATTAATTAGACCCTAAAAAGAAATTATAAACCTTTAGGTATAGGTGGCTGGAGAAGGCAGTTAGGAAATTTTAAGGAGCTCATGATAATAGTCACACAGCTATAATTATGATGGAATAAGAATGAACAACAAAAACAGGGCAGATTATACCTAGTATTTCTTTCCTATCACAGAATTTAAAGTTGGTAGAAACCTTGGAAAGTATGTCATCTAATTACCTTCTCACCTTAAGTCTGTCTGCTACCATAGATCCTTATTTATCATGTATGTTTAATATGTTAACAAAATGCTGTTGATTTTACCCTTATGTGAGGTGTTTCCATTGGTATTCTCCTTTGGACTAACATTAAAGATATTTAAAGTTAATTGACTTTTAAGTATACTTTAGAGGCAGCAAACAGCAAGAATTACAACCTAGATTTGTTGCCTATGTGGAGTCTATTCTTTGAGACCTATTCCTTTTTCAATTACTGTGATTTAATGTTAGGCTTTAGAAGTGGAAAGGAGCTAAAAAATCAAGATTTCAAAACCATTTATAGATTAAAAAAAGTCACTTTTCTTGAAAGTCACTTTTCAAGAATCCTTCCAAAGTTGCCAAGGGATTTTGGTAAATGATTCTATGTGAATAATAATAATGATAGCAATCTTGCCTACCATTGAGTGCCTTGTGTTTATGAATATCAGGATAGAATTATATTCTGGAAACATTTGGTTTATTTATCTTATTTGTAAAAATATATTTTTAAGATAACTGCCCAGATGAATTAACTAGACTCCTTTACCTTAGCTTCTATATTAAAATGACCACTAAGATGACCTGTAATTGATTTCAAGACTATAGGATACAGGGAAGAATTGTCATCGTTATTCTGATTTTAATATTAGTCTGTGTTTCTGACTGTAAAGAGTTGAAGCAGACAAGAGGAGTTACTTGAGTAGATGACATCACCCTTTCTGCAGAGTAAAGAAGCTGGATTGTGACTTTATTGAGAGCAAGAACTGCTTTATGTATCTTTGAATTTAGCCATTTAGCTCCTTTAATGGAACATGATAGGTGCTTGATAAATACTGGTTGAATCAATAAATGAATAATAAATACCAAGGATTCCCATTTATGTTTAATTGATTAAAAAAGAATACATTTAAAATGTGAATTTTTGTAACACTAACATTTTCATGCCAAGGCTGCTCAAGCTCGGTAACAAGCTATATATTTTGTAGTTCCAAAGACAGCAATATTTTTAGGTCAAAAAGTTACATAAATCAGAACTGATATAGCTTATCTTTCAAGCTACTTTTTGTAATACAAAGGTGTTTTTCCTGACCAAAAGGTATTTTTATACAGATATCTAGAAAGTAGAAAGTGTCAGGGCTTAGTGTAAAATGTGAATGATACCTTAAAAACTTGAATTGTAGTTTGTATCAAGCATGGAAATAGTAGGATTCATTTAATTGAGAGGCATAAAGGTCCATTTTCAGTTGTGTGGATTATCTTTTAAAAAAATCTCTAACATATGTTAAAGAGATCTATTCAGAACTTTTTTTTTTTTTTAAAGATTGGCACCTGGGCTAACAACTGTTGCCAATCTTTTTTTTTTTTTTTCTGCTTTATCTCCCCAACCCCCCCCCCCCCCCCGTACACAGTTGTATATCTTAGTTGCAGGTCCTTCCAGTTGTGGGATGTGGGACGCCACCTAAACGCGGCCTGAGGAGCGGTGCCATGTCTGCGCCCAGGATCCGAACCCTGGGCCGCCGTAGCAGAGCACGTGAACTTAACCACTCGGCCACGGAGCCGGTCCCTCAGAACTTATTCTTGAAAGAACAGTTCCTCAAGAAGCATTATTATATAGTTGCAATAGAAGTTTTCAAATTGTTTATAATCCCATTATTTTCCATTAATGACTAAAATCATTTATTCTCAGAAAATTTTGGAAATTTGTATCAATTTCTGGTACTTTCTATACTTTCAGAAAATACAATAGCTTGTTAGCGAATACAAGCATCTCATTTTTATTAAGATAATTTCGTGACCCAATTCTATATTTTCACAAATGCCAGCAATGTGAATATCATAAAGCCATTCATGTAGCCCACACACATTTGTAAGGAGAATACTCTTACCCTCTTTTTTCTCTCCCACACCAAATAGCAAGGCATGACTGTGTCTGAAAAGTTGAAAGCATTTGCTTACAAAATGTCATTTAATCTAAAACTGTGTCAGTTCCTCTCCTCCCTAGAGCTTAGAAAGTTAACAAGTGTTTGGTTATGATCTCAAGGTTTTAATTGCAGAAACAGAATCAGTGTAATTTCAGAGAGCAGCCGACAGGTGTGGAATTTCTCTTTTCAGTCCTTGTTACTATCAACAAAAGTTAGGGAACTCCCTGCATTATTAATTCATATAGAGTTTAACTGAAGGCCTGTAGCTTTACTTGAGTAATACTGCCCAGCAAACGTATTGGGCAGTATTTAAGATATTGCAAGATAACAACCATGCCATTATTCCTGTGCCTCATGAAAGAAGTCTCCAGACGGCAAAGCCAGGCTTAAATAACTTCTGAAGGTGGAAGAAGGGCCAGTCTACATTATAGTAATCTAAATGGCCCTTTCAATTTAATAATGTGCTGCTAACGTGAGTAAGCATGCTACTGCCATCCACTATTGGGGACAGAGATCTGCAAGCTTCACCAGTTTCCAGAAAAAAAGTTCCAGCAAACTAGTTAGGGATCCTAATTTTGTTTTGAAATCTGCCTCATTTTTTTTCCTGGTAAAATATAGATAGTTCTCAAATTTCTTCCTAGTAAAATAAAAGTAACTGTAGCAAAACATCATTCATGCTGTCATATAAATCTATGAAACAAGTAATGCATGTTATATCGAATGGATTTATGCGACCCTAATTCCAAACACTTTTTAAAAAATTACTCCGTGACAGGAGAAGAGGCCTCCGTTTGCAGCAGTACTGTTGTGGAGGCGCTGTGCGTCGGGGAGGGAGTTTCAGCCCCAGCGCCTCATCAGGAAGTCACAGAGCCCTAAGGTGATTTTTCCAGCCGTCACACTCAGAGCAGTTCCATCATCACACTCAGAGCAGTTCCATCACCACACTCAGAGCAGTTCCGTCACCACACTCAGAGCAGTTCCGTCATCACACTCAGAGCAGTTCCATCATCACACTCAGAGCAGTTCCATCACCACACTCAGAGCAGTTCCGTCACCACACTCAGAGCAGTTCCATCATCACACTCAGAGCAGTTCCATCATCACACTCAGAGCAGTTCCATCACCACACTCAGAGCAGTTCCGTCACCACACTCAGAGCAGTTCCATCATCACACTCAGAGCAGTTCCATCATCACACTCAGAGCAGTTCCATCACCACACTCAGAGCAATTCCGTGTGAGGACAAACTAATAGCTGATTTCAACCAGTAGTTACTTAGTAGATCAGTATGGATTTGCTTCAAGATTTCTAGATATCAGAGTTTTGTTTTTTGGTAAAAATAACTGCTTTTGTCTAAGTACTTGAATGTGACAGTGATTTTTTTAGGTAATAATTGCAAGGAAACATTCCTTTTTTATTAAAATCATTTTTTTAGTATAAAATGAACATGTTCAGGGGCTGGCCCCGTGGCCGAGTGGTTAAGTTCGCGCGCTCCGCTGCAGGCGGCCCAGTGTTTCGTTGGTTCGAATCCTGGGCGCGGACATGGCACTGCTCATCAGACCACGCTGAGGCAGCGTCCCACATGCCACAACTAGAAGAACCCACAACGAAGAATACACAACCATGTACTGGGGGGCTTTGGGGAGAAAAAGGAAAAAATAAAAAAATCTTTAAAAAAAAAATGAACATGTTCATTGTAGAAACTTCAGAAAACATAAACTTTAAAAGATGAAATCTAAATATTACCCATAATTCATTCAGTCAAAAATCATGTTTATGTATATGAGGGATTGTTGTTATTATTTCTCAGTCTTGCAATAACAAGTTAGCCAAAGCACAACTATTAATAGAACTTAAGTCTATTGAACCACTGAGCACAGCACTTCTGGATTTTCCTTAGCGGAAACTATTGGTGATAATAGGTTATAGAGAATGTTCCAGTAATACTTGCTATATTAGTAAATATTGATTAGTGCTGTAGAGAGAGCAACTATGCCTAATCATATCAACACTTAGCTGATCACAGTTTATGACAGATAAATTTTTGATGTCTTAGGAAAAAGCACTGAAGCTATTTTATTTGGAATTATTTTTAATGTTTTCTAATTGCTGACCAAATGGTAGAGAAAAGATTGTAAGCTCTTTAGAGGGCAGGAAAAGTGCCATGCAGGGCCCAGTACAAATTTGGCATTCTGTAAATATTTGTTGACGACAAATGCTCTTTATTCTTATATAATTATGATAATTTCCTCAGAACTTAATATAATTGGCTATAGGGGAAAATACGTGGCCAAAATTTTTATAAAATTATTTTGTACTACTGGTTCAGTATTCAATTTTGATTGAATAAATATATTATTAGCAATAATAAAGGGTTTGAAAGCTTTTCTTAGTATATTTTTAATCTGAATTTTTACTATAAAAAGATATAAAATTACTTTTGACTCGTGTCCTTCAGAAAAACACACTTCTTTAAATCACACACCGTCAAAGGGAAGGAATATGACAACAGCGGGAAAATATGGTTGACTTTTTAGACATCTCATGATCATTTAGTTAATGATAACACACAAACGAGATTGCTATTTCTGTATGTTTGAAAGGCCAGCGTGCAATAAATGTTGCTTTTCATATTTAAGAAAATGTAGTGATTCCCCTTCAGTGTGGAAAGATGACTCAAAATCCCAACCCAGCCACTACAAGTCAATTAACTTGGATACCAGCATCTTATTTCCAGCTCTTTCATTCTAGAGTTTGAGTTTGAAGTCATGACCTGTCTATCCGTGCCCCTTATACCCGGCCTGGCCAGAATATCTAATTTCCTGGCCACAGTGATTGGCTTAGGAATGGGCCTCTAACCTAAGCTGGATCAGTCAGAGCCTACTCTGAGACTCTCCTATTGGAGATAAAAGGTAATTGCGTCTTTCTGCTGGGGTTAGTACGCTGGTAGTGTGTATGCCTGGGCCTGCGACATCTCCCCTAAGAGACAGACAGAGCCATGAGGTTTTGGAGCGCGCATGCCTGAAACCAACTGTTCTCTGGACTTCCCTGTTACGTGAGCCTGTGAATTCCTCTTTTTTCCACTTAAGCTAATTTGAGTTGGGTTCTGCCATTTACAAATAAAAGAGTTTAACATTAAAAGTAGAAAGAAGTGCCTTATAAATGAACTGGAGAAAATAATAAATATAAGAGCAGAAATTTATAAAGAAAGGAAAGATATTATAGAAAAGATAAAGCCAAAAAGTATTTCTTTAAAAATGTTAATAAAATGGATAAACTTCATAGCAAGACTGATTAAAAGAAAAATTAGAAGCCCAAATAAACCACATGAGATAAAAAGGGGGCACTTAATATAGTTACAAGAGATTAAAAAGATCCCTACAGGAGCTGGCCCAGTGGCACAGTGGTTAAGTGCAGTACGTTCCATTTCGTTGGCGCGGGGTTTGCCGGTTCAGATGCTGGGTGTGGACATGGCACGGATTGGCAAAAACCATGCTGTGGTAGGTGTCCCATATATAAAAGTAGAGGAAGATGGGCATGGATGTTAGCTCAGGGCCAGTCTTCCTCAGCAAAAAGAGGAGGATTGGCAGCAGTTAGCTCAGGGCTAATCTTCCTCAAAAAAAAAAGATCCCTACAAATGTGAAAATTTAGATGATATGCACAAATTCTACATTAATGTCCAAAACTGACTAAAAACTAAGAAAAAAACTAGAAAATCTGAATGCTCCTGTTAGCGTGAAGGGAACTGAATCTGTAGTTAAAATTTTTTTCCCTAAAGAAAACACCAAGTTCAAAGTTTTATAGGTAAACTATCAAACATTCAACGATAAATATTTACAACCATAAACTCTTTTATAGAAGAGAAAAGTCAGTCTCACAGATGAACATAAATGTGAAGATCCTAAACAAAATATACCAATCTGAATTTAAGTGTATAAAAC